CATTAGGTTATGTCATGGAGAACTTTTGTTGGTAATATAACTGAGTTAATCATTGGGTCTCCGCTTTGAAATCTGTGACACTGAAGTCTCAGCACCGCTTTGTTCCCAGCATTGCTTATGGTGAGCCCTGTCATCCAAATCAGAGTAGGCTACAGCCCTGAATTTTCTGTCATTAGGAAAGATTACACTGATAACATACGGAAATTGTATTCAGATTAGAATAAATTCATTTTTTTCAGCTGCGCTCACCTCTCTCAAGTTTTTTCTGGACCAAACTTACATTTTTGAGGCTAACTGTTAGTATTTAACTTGCAGTATCTCTGTAGCTGTGGTTGTTGGAATTGCTTATCTGCTAACATACGAGTCAGCTTAGTTTACCTCACTAAACTAATTTTATTTTGCTGCATGATTCACCAGCTTTTCATTTGCCATAGATGCATGCTTCCATTGCTTTCTTTTTTTTTTCTTTTTTTTCTTCTTTTAAATTGTCTGCAGTGGGAAGCTGTCCATACCGTGTACCGAGCAGGACAGGGGGCTTGGTGATGTATGCCAGGCCCAGCAGAGCTGCCAAACGGCCTTAGTTTCATAGACAAGACTAGCCTGACCATTGTTGAATTTAAATCATTTGGAATTTTCTGTGGCCTCTTCCTTGTCAAAATCCCAGTGAGTGTGGTTATATGATGCCATCAGAATGACTCATTGCCATAATTGCATATGTTCTAAGGGGTTATTCCCATTGTATTATTAAAAACTAGTGATGTTTGATTTTTGGCAGGGGCTGTCTTCCTTGTATGATCTACAGATTTTGTCAATTAAATGAAAGAAAAATAGATTTCCAAGACTTAAGAACAAGACTGGACTTGTACTCAGAGCACTTTTTCAGTGTGTTATTGAGCTACTTTGCGTTATTTAATTGGATAAGGGCAACATCAGCCATCTTAGTCTCCATGCTGCAGTGATTCCCTGCAGAGTACAAGGACAGAAGTGAGCTTCATATCTTTCAAAATCATCCAGAGCACTGCCAGAAGATACCGTAGATTATTTATCACTACAATCATTTTCCCAACTCAGTTTCTTAGGAGTTAGTTTTCAAAGATATAACTTACAGGAGTGGGAGGCAAGACTCCTTGGCAAAAGGCTCCAGGTTTGATGTCTCCCTAACCGAAAAAAACAAGAGTGATCTCAGATATCGTTGCCTTGGATTTAAGAGATCCTAAAACAGCAACTGCAAGCAATAGGGGAAAGCCAGAGGGAGGAGAGAGGAAAACTCTGAAGTCAAGCAAAAAAGTCAAAAAGTTGAAAAAGGATTTGGAGAGCCAAGACTGTTCTGTGCCCCCAGAATCAATCCCTCAGAGCAAAAGTCATGCTGAATCCTGTGCAATGCTCGCAGACATGCAGAGCTTTCTGCATTACTCTCTGAACTTAGGCTGCAGAACTGTCTCATAGGAATTGTTTACTAGCAATCTGGAAGTTAAAGCATTTGCATGTAACTAATTTACTTTTGCTATTTGATTTTAATGGTGAGTAAAAGTGGCTTCTTTTCTGGAAAGCTGCACATGCTGCACCATACATTTTAGCCTTATGCATCCCTAGATTTGGCCTTTTTGCAAGCTGCCTCAGCGGTAATGGCAAACGAGGTCTTAACCCAGCATTTTTGCTTGTGCTGTAAATAGCTATAGTATCTACCTCATTGATTTTTTTTTATTTTATTTATTTATTTATTTTTTACAGGAAAGATCCTGCCGTTCTTCAAAAACTATGGAGATTCTAGCATGCAGCTCCAGCTACACTATGGTTTGGCATTCAGTTGGGTATAATTTGCTATTATGTATATAAATGCCATCAGTGTGATTTATTTATGGTGACTGGTTATATAGAGCTGATATTTCTGTCATTTTAATAGAGGTGGTTTTTTTTTGTTTTGTTTTTAAATTGTTATGCCTAACATCTCATCCTGTGAAGACTATTGGCTTAATAAAATCTGTAAGTAAATATATATAGAAAAGGGCCCTTCTAATGGTTTAAGACAATGTAATCCAAATAACAGTATTAGTAATGACCATTTTCACTTTCCTACTATATTTCCTTTAATCAAAGCTTTCTTCTGAGTGAGAAATCATTTTAACATAAACATGAACTAAAAGTCTACACATTGCCTTCATCTCCATGGGGATATAAAGCTAGTAAATTATTGTTTGAGGAGTATGTGTGCACACATTCAACTTGACTGTAGCTGATGAAAAATGCAGATTTATCTTGTACAGAAAGGATAAGAATGTAATACAACCAACCTGTGTGAAATTTGTCTGCCTCAGCTCCTAAATCTCAGCAAATGAGATAGAAATTAAACAGTTCCAAACAGTAAGCTGTTAATGCATTATTCCTTGCAATTTGTTCCCCTTTACCTAGGAATATTTACCCAAGAGATAAGTAAACTACCTAGAAACTGTCCTGCAAATTTTGAGTTGGTCCGTCCAGTGAATAAACATCGTTTGGCTCATGAGTATACATGAAGACCTTTTCTATGCGAAGGAATTTCCTACAAAGGATCTATCTCGCTGTCTATACATCTAGCAACTACTTTTCCAGTTCAGCAAATAGGTGGTCAAAGTACAGAACATGAACACATGCAGGATCCACAGCACTAACATTTTCGTGCCGTGACTCACGGAGGTACATTTGTTTTCTGGATGGTGGTGGGGGGCCAAATTACTTCAGGAGAGACTTAGTTGCTCGTTCTAGATATTTTTGACCAGTTGGAATTTGACTCTGTTTTTGGTGAATAAACAAACAAAGCTTGTTCAGCAAACCCATTTCTTTATTTATTTGTTTAAAGAAGCATATTTTACAGTGATGCCACGGAGAGAACACCACAACAGATTTTATTTGGTGGGCTGAAAGAGAGCATTCATGTGCATGTGAGTTGAGATGATATCTAAGGAGATCTCCGTTTTGGACTGTCGAGCTCAGCGTGCAAAGCACGTTAGTCAAAGGCAAAAGGTTTCTATATTCTGAAATGAACCAGCTGTCTGAGAGTGGGAATAAGCCCTATTCTTGAGCTGATAAAAAAAAAAAAAAAGATAATTGATTTTATTTATTTATTTATTATTATTTATATTCCTTCTAATTTTTATAAAACAGTTTAATTTTAAACATCCATACTGGAAAATCCTGGATTTTCTTAGTACACATTTTAATCTTTCCTTTTCCTTTCTCCCTTTTTCTTCCCATTTTACTATGAAAAAAAAAGGAAGAGAGAAGGGAAAAGGGTGCAACAGAAAGAAGTTCTTCACTTTTTCTAAAAAAAACTCCAGAAAAGTCTACAAGATATGTTGTGTTGATTTATTATAAGCAGTTTAGTTTTGAAATATTTGCACTAATATTGCCATGAGTTAGGGAATCCAGTCAGTTAACAGAGCCTTAGTGTCTAAAACCTTACTAATGCACCCTCTCTTCTCTTTAATCCTTGTTGAGAACTGGATTGAGATACTGAAGCAAGAGGGAAGAAAGAGTGGTTTATGAATTAGCAAGCTGAGGTTCATGAAAGGGTTACTGATTATTGCTGCTAAAAAGCGGAAGGGAAAAATGATTCTGCTTACAAGCAGTGCCATGTCACAAACAAAATACTTATCTCACAGGCTAGCTGAGGCTAGAAAGCAAAGTGAGATCTGATCTTTCAACTGGGAGGCCTTCAGGAATCGTCTGAACATGATCCATAAACAACTCAAAGGATGACTTTAAGAACCTCTTTCTCTCTCTGCTTGGTATGCTGGTCGTTTATCATTGTGCTGAAATGGAATCCCCTTTAAAAGATATAACGGCTTCTTGTTTACTTAAACACAAAGTGGATGATGGGCTGAAAGGTTTTGCTGCCAGCAGAGCAGTCACGGAGAGCTTGGTACAGCCCTGGGGCTGAAACAACTATGCAGCTCCCACGTCCTGACCTCTGCCAAAGCAGCCGCAGTGCAATGGGGCGAGGGGAGCCTCGGCTGTCCCCACCAGAGCTGTGCTGCCCGTGTCCCCTTGTGGAAAAGCACCGGCACCCCACCGGGGAGGCACCCAGAGCCACATGCCAGGGGCTTTCCACCACAGGCACCCCCTGAGAGGCAGAGGCAGTGGTACAAAAGCAAGGGCAGCGCTACTTGGGTTGGACAGCTTTAGCTTTGGGGTCGGCTTTTCCCTGCCCCTCATTTTACTGGGGGAGCCAGGAGCTTCAGCGGTGCAGCATGGCACATCGCTGGGGACCTCCCCGGCTTCATCCCTTGGGACCAGAGGGGTTTTGCTGAACTGTAGAGGAATTAAATATCTGCCCCTATTTATACTGAGGAAGCATGATTTAAAATATAAGGGAAACTGAGCGAGGTGCCACGTCATGTCAAGGGCAAGGCTCTCTGTGCAGAGAAGGAGCACACGCCCACTCCGATCTCACCACGTCTCCATCCAGCACCATCCTCCTCCTGGCTCCTGGTGCCAATTCCTGAAGAGCAGGAGCATTTTTGCTCAATCCAGGACATTCCCATTGGTGACAGGGAGACCAGCGCTTTCTACCCAACTTAAACATTTTCTTTTCTTCATGGGGCCTGAACTGTGCCATCCCCCTCCCGCCTTCATTCCCTCCTACTGTGTGTTGGGGCAGTGCTAGGCTGAACGGACAGGCCTGGCCCGAACGGACAGGCCTGGCCCTAGCCCCAGAGTGGAGTCTGGTAGTTGTGACCGTACGAGCAAAGACACAACGTTTCGGCAACCTTTGGTGTTTTGTAACCTCTCCTTTTCTCAAGCTGGGTTCTTTAACTGGAACTTCCTTGGGGGACGGTGGGGAGCAGCGTGGGCCCTGTGTGGGTAGCGGGGCTGAGCTCAGGCTGCAAGCAGCTGGCAGCATTTTCTGGGATTTTCTTACAGCTTTTGTGTGTTTCCCTTCCACAAGTGAGTCTCTGTCCTGTGGGACACCAGCCTCCATAGGGGCCAAGGCATGAACCACACACTCAGGAAGCTGGTTGTCATCTTTTTTTTTTTTTTTTTTTTCTTTTTTTCTTTTTTAATTTGAAATAACTCTTTGAAGCAGATTCAGGGCAGATACCACTGACCTCTTACCACAAACGTTTAACATGTATTATTCTCAATGATAAAGTCATACAGCTTAAAACACAAAATAAAGGGGAGGGGGAAGAGAAAGAGGCCACTGCCTTTGCGTGAGTCCAGTTCCCTGGTCTGGAAGAGCAGAAATTCAGTCCCAGCCCTGTCCGCCAGGCTGCCACCGTGCTGTGCCGGGGCCAGGCGGCTGGCTCGGCGTGGAGGCACTGTGTCATAAGGTCCCGTGCCCTTGTCCTTTGCTCTGGTTCATCCTCACCTCTCGTCCCCGCAGCGTCCCACTGCCACGTCCCTCCGCGAGCACTCGCGCTCCTCGCCCCGGAGGGGTGCCGTCCGCGTCCTGGGGGTGCAGCCTCCTTAAGTATCGTGTATGTGGCTTCTGTCGGGTCTAGTCTAGGAGTATATGTCTGTCTTTCGGAACATGTGTAATGTTGTGTAGCAGTGCTCTGGTTCAATAAAGCTTTCATATACATAGCAGCAATGAAGTCTTGCCATCAGGTGACGGAAAGGGGCAGCTATTGGGTAGGGCTGGCAGATGTGGCGGGGACCACAGCCCCTCTCTGTTTGCTCTTCCTCTTCTTGGTGCCAGACTTAGCATCTTTGGTGTCTTTCCGATTTCTGTTCCCATTGGTATTATCTTGCTTTCCTTGCTCTTCTTTTTTCTTCCTTTTCCCTGCAGTAAAGCAAAGGGCAGGGGTGAGGTTCCCAGCAGGACAAGTGTGCCCAGCGGGGTCCTGTGGGCTCCTGGCATGGTTCAAGGGGTGGCTGAGCCCCTTCCAACCACACAGGTGCCCACCGGCCAGCCTGCTCTTTGTACTGCGAGCTGTTCCTAAATACACACACGGAAGGTGGCTCAAACCTGGATTTAGCTGTGCATTTCCCAGCCTCTGGCAGGAGATTTGAGACTCGCATTTCCTTGCCACCACAGCCTGTTCCCTTTTTTTAATGCACCTTGCTGCCTGCACCACTGGCAGCCAGGCGGGGCTTGTCCCCCCCCCTCCCTGCTCTCTGGTCCCGTGCTGTTACTGACTACTCAGAACCGGTTCCCCTCCAAGCAGTCAGCCCAGCCACAATCTTGTCCATCCCGTAAGGGGATGACCAAGCCACCATTCATCCTGTGGACACAGCAATTCCCGGGAAAAGCACAGACCTCAGCATTCCTACAAAGGAGGTGACACCTCCCACCTGCGCAACACACGGAGCTTGCTCAGCTGCCTTTTTATGGTGCTGGGCCATTAGGCTAAATACTGCCACGTGGAGTGGTGCTGGGGAGAGGTGGTGAAATACCCGGTGCTCGCTCACCTTCGGGGCACTGGCTCTTCTGCACGGTGCACCTCCGCACCTCCGTGGTGGCGGGGCACAGGGACACGTCTCCGGAGGGAGCCTGCAGGATCCGCCGCGTTCGATCCTCGTTACCCTTCTTGAAGCCGCACAGCTTCCTCTTCTTGGAGCAGGGCCCCCAGGGCCCCCACTCGCTCATTTCACATTGTGCTGCCAGATAACAAGAAAGGCCAGAGGTAACTCTTGTCTCTCCACGGCTGCCTCCACCCTCCCAGGAGCCCCCCTGCAGCATTGCACCTCTCCCTTCCCAAGGCTGGAGGAGCGTGTGTGCTTCCCCAGCAGCTTTCTAGGCTTTCACAGCACCCCCTTTCCTACCATATGGTGAACCCTGAGCTGTACATACTCCACGAGCAGTTTGCATTGATGTCATGGTGCTGCAGTGCCCAGCAGGCTCCAAAGGGCTGAGTACAGGGACGCCGGTACCATCACCCACTAGACACCAGTGCAGCACCATTTCTGAAGGGTTTGTTTTATCACCTAAGCCAACCTGAAGCAATACATGCTACAGGACCCGACGGATGCACAGAAAGCTCAGTGGAAGGTGCCTGAGCGTCGCTTACCAGGACTGCTGCACTCCATGGTGCCGTTGGCAGCAGAGTAGCCTTCAGGGCATGTGACGTAACATCTCCCTTTGTGCAAATACAAACCTTCCTTACATTTTGTGCAAAAGTTTCGGCTGAAACAGGACTCACAGTTCTCAATTTTGCATTCTGAGGGGAACAAAAACACAAAGCCATCACGCAGTCTGACGCGAACACGAGTGCTGGCAGGCTGGGCTAGCCTGAGCAGCACACGGGAGCTGTGATTTGCGCTGTGTGCGTATGCTGGGGCTGAGGCTGTGCAGGCAGGGCAGCTTGGGGAGGGTACGGGTGGGCAGGGAGCAGGCATGGGCAGTGGGAGAGCTAAGTCCTGAAGGCTCAGGAGGCTTCTGATCGCTCTCACCAGTTTGATTCTGGCTCCAAGGAGGCTGCAAGCAGCCAGGGCGAGTCTCTGGGTGCCCTGCCAGGCCTGGTTGTGCTACTCGAATAGCCATTAGTTTTCTTTGCACTGTTCCCTGCTATGGGACAGAGCCACTGTGCTGCGTCAGCAGCTTCCAGGTGGAAATCAGGCAGGGTGGAAAAGGTCTGGGCTTGTGTTCAGCCCGAGCACCAACTGGCTGAAGTGGGGAAGTGGAAAGAACAAAGCCCGGTCTCAGCCGCTCCAGCTGCAGCCACAATATGGGCTGCAAAGAAACTGAACTGGACAGAAACCTGGCCGTCAGGGTGGTTTGCATGAAACTGCCAGGGAAGTGAGCGTGTTTTTCCACGTCCAGCTTCTTTCTGGTGCTTTGGCTGAACAAGGCAACCCTGGGCTGAAATTCTTGCTCAGAGAGCTGCTTCATGACCGTGGATGGGCAGAGGAGAGGAGCACCACGACCTGCCCGCGGCACGGAGACACCACTGATACTCACTGATGCACTTGTTCATGTCTGTATTGCGAAGGCCAAAGTATCCCAGTGGACAGGATGGTAGGCAGATCCCAATTTGCCGGATATCATTCCTCTCCAGAAGGATGAAGAGCTTGGGGGAACATCTCAGGCACCCGTTGAACTCGGAGCACAGGTCACAGCCCCTGGCACAGCCCTGACTCAGCTCGGTGCTAACTGGAAGAGCAGGAGAGAGGCAGCAGTGAGCGCCCACCCATGGGCACAAGGACACCAGAGCTCTGCAGTGCCGTGATTTTTCCCCAGCCTTGCCCTTTCTGATGGTTCCCAGGGCTTGGGGTTGTCCCATAAGGGAGGACACAGCACCACGACCAGCTTGAGACGGGGCATCACTGCTGAGCCCTGCCACTCGAGCAGGAGCCAGTTCTTTGGAGAGCGGCCAGCAGCTTCCTGGAGACAAATCCCCCTCTGAGGGAAGCTGCCATAAATATTTGATGTGAAGTATGAGTTCATGTCTTGACATAAGTGCCACCCGGAGAGAACAAATCAAACCCAGCTCAATAATTCATTAGCCCTGTCCCTGAGCATGGCTTTGCCCAGGGGATGCCTTGGCCCCCCTGCACTCACTGCAGCTCTGCATCTGCTATGTCCAGGACCCCAAAGCAGCCACCAGCTACAAACAGCACCCCACTGCCTAAATGCCCTGTTAGAGCAGGATTTCACCCAAACAGAGGTCACACAGCGGTGCCGCTCCGGGCACCTCCAGGGCAAGCAGGGAGCGGGGCCATGCAGTGCTGGAGGGAAACGCTCTGAGTAATCCTGCCTTGTGCTCTGAGCCGGGCTGAGGCCAAGCTACATCTCACTGTGACCCCTCTTGCGTTCACTGTATCTGGCAGCGTAGGAGATTTCACTGCCCCCAAAATAGAGATGTGTTCTCAGCTCCTAGATTCAGTCCAAGAAAAATACTCAATCCCATGTCTTGAGAGTTTTCTGCTTTTAATTATCATGTAAAATGCTGCTTGTTTTGAAACCAATAGCATTCTTTGCAGGCTAGAATGCAGGTTATTTTTATTAGTTTATTATGCAAGCAGTGTCCTTGTTTATGGAGAGACCGTGTATTTTAAAATGTATTCCTTTAAAAGCTGTGTTTACTACACTTCAAAAGCAAGTGTGGAGCTCCAGAGTGTTCACATGCCAGCCTGGGAGGTGGGGAAGCTTTCCTCTCCCTCCCACCATGACCTGGGGTCCCAGCAGCTCCCCTGCTCCTTGTCCTTGCCCCGTCACCAGTCCCCACTTGTCTGCACGGTGCAGAGGCTGCTGCAGCCTCAGACAATGAGACAGAAAGCAAGAGGGATCCCCAGGCTGGGGACCCGAGGTGCCCAGCTGCCAGGAGGGCTGGCCAGGTCTGGGCCAACCTCCCCTCTGAATTTTGGGCTCTGGAAGCAGGGATCCCTGCAGGAATCCAGCCCCATCCCTCCTGCACCCCACAGTACTGAGGTTTGCTTCTGTGGCAAAGGTACAAACCGAGACTCGCTGGGAATCGTGTTTAATAGCTTTAGCCACGACCTCGAGTTTTCCCTGTTCTCACGGAGCTCCAGCAGTCCCAGTTTTAACATAAAATCATTTTTCTGTAATTCAATTTAAAGCCGTTTGAATGCAAACCAGTTCTAAAACGAGGTTGCCTAAATGAGGGGAAGCCCATGCGGCTGCTTTTGTGCGTTTCGGGCTGCTCGAGTCCCAGGGTGGGGCTGGCCAAAGCCCGTCCTGGCCGCGGGGGATAATTAAAACCCGCCCTTGCCATGCACCTCGGGTTGCAGCTCCCCGGCCATGACCACAGGAAAAGGGACCACAACAGGCAGGATCCTGCAAGCAGGAGAGCTGCACAGGACCAGGGGAAGGCTGAGACCTCGCTGGGCACCAGGAGGCTCTGCCCACCCTGCGCATCCCCAAACATTCCCGTTCTCCACGAACGGCAGCGCATCACGAGGAGCAGAGAAGAAGAAAAACGTTTCATACGTACTTCGTCTTTGCCTCTTGCCCTTCACCACTTTGCTGCTGCCTGTTAGATCCATCGAGCTCAGAAAAACCACCACCACAAGCAGTCCAAGCTGCATAGTAACTCTCCAGCGCTGCAGCCCTGTATCGCAGGGTGATCGGAGTCCGTCCCGTGCCCGGGGGGCTCTGCTGCCACTAAAACCTCTGGGGCTGGCTCAGAGCTGAGAGTCTGTGTGTGAAGCCTGGTGCAGGACCATATCCACAAGCTACCGGCGCAGCAGCAGAGGCCTTAGGTAGCAGGTAACATGGTTCTGCCTTCATCCCCATACGGAGCGCAGGAGCTTGGGTCTAGTCCCATCTGGGGGCTCGGGCAGTGAGCGTTAGCTGCTCGTAGTTTCCACGGGCACGCGCAGGAACTGGAAAGGAAGAGGAGAAAGGATTAGCTCCACTGGATAATGAACACAGGTCTCCATCGTTTCTGTCTGGAGTGGGCCAGCACGGTGCCAAGCATAGAGCAAAATGTGGGGGATCACCCTCCAACCCCACCTGCACATTTCTGCTTGCCTTAATAAAAAACTGCATGTATTTTTTTTTTTTTTCATGGAAATGCCTGCTGTGGTCTTGCCATCTGTGGCTGCTGAACCCAACGGCAGCTGTAACTTGTTCGTTGCAGTGCCAGTGCTCCTCAGCCCCTGCTCGCCAAGCAGCAGACGGCCACTGCGGGCTGCCAAGCGCAAAATATGTTTCCTATCAAGGGGGCACCTCTGGGGACTGGGAGTCGAGCTGGGTGTGCAGCGCTGTCCCTGGGGACAGGGAGGGATTGTCCTGAGAGCTGCCGAGATGCTGCGGTTTGCTCCAAAGGCAATTGCAACGCCCTGAGCTCCCCGTCCTTGCAAATGCAGCTCTGGGAAATGGCTGCGGAGGTGGATTTGGGTGCTCCAGGAGCGGAGGAAGCACGACTTGCAGGCTGAGCAGTAAGCTCTGGCACAGCACGGTGGGGCTGCACTCTTCTGTACGCAGCCGGCAGAGCGCAGCCCCACCAACTGCTGCCATTGTGTGGGAATAAAGGCAACAACATTCACTCTGAGGTCAAATGAAACAGAAAAATGTTTTAATCCCTTTATAATAACTGTGCAGACACTGATGCCCCCAATGGCCAGTGGCAAAGGGGCTGGAATGGTGCCCGGCTGCAGCCCCGGGCATCACAAAGGGTTGCAGGACCCTGCTGCTCACACACCTTGTACTCAGCTGTCCTGGGGAGATACCTTCCATCCCCATGGCACACAGGGACCGAAGAAACCATGGGAACTCACCCCGCTCCAGCTGGGAGCAAGCCCTGTGCACAGGAATGTGCTCCCAGGGTCTGACTGCACCCCAGCGTCACCACCAGGAGCCCCGAGCAGCCACGCACGCAGCAGAAAAGCTCTTGGAAACTGCTGCTCGTAGCAGCAGTAGCAGGTTGGCAACATCTCGAGGCAGCAGCTGGAGGAAGATGTGACCCGTGTGTTGCCGGGCCTTGCAGCAGCACGTCTCAATGCTGAGCTGAGCACCAGAGCAGAAGCCTCAGGGCAGCGTTGGTTCAAGCGCACCGGCACTGTCGGGAGGGCACGTGGCACCGCGGGGTGCTGCTGGCATCCTCCCGCCCCAACAGCCTTGAACTTTTCACCGTATCCCCGCTGAGACTCCCCTGAGAGCTGCTGGGGCAAGAGCGCAGCGCTGCCCATGTGCTTGTCGTTACAGCCCGCAGCATCATCCAGGGGATTTTCAAATAAATAATTAGTCACTTGTGTAAACACCAACTTGTTCTGCACTTCCAAGCCTGTTTGCTGCAAGCTGCTTTATAAACACTGTCAAGTGCTTAAGCTGGGCTGTTGGGAGTGTTTACCGGAGCGGAGATCCGCGCGGAGATCACAACCCTCACCCGCTGCAGCCTCCCTGCGCTCAGCATCCCTGGGCACACGTGTGGGGCAGCCCTGTAGGGAGGGGTGAAGGCAGCACGGCTCCCTGCATCCTCTGAGCAGCACAGAATGGCACGAGATGGCATGGCACAGCACAAGGTGATGTGGCACGGCACGGCATGGCATGGCACAGCATGGTATGGCACACCTTGGCATGGCATGATGTGGGTGGCACGACACAGCACCAACAGGACGACCCCAGGGATGCTCACCAGGGCCGTGTCAGCGCAGCTCAGCCCAAACTCTCCCCAAATTAGCCCTGAAAGCCAGCTGCACCGGGGGGAGCACCGCCACCACCCGCTCTGGCTGCCCCTTGTTGCTAATCCCAATGCTCACGCAGGTGACGTGCCCCGCAGGACACACACGCTGGACCTGTTCCATGTCCTTCCATGTTTACACAACAGTCACTGCTCAGGCAAACCTCCCCCACTGTTTCGGGACAGCAGTGGGGATGTTCTCAGGGAGCCAACACTCCCCCAGCGTGCCAAGAGCCAGCGTGAGGCTTGAGCCTCAGCCGTATGAGCCCATCCCTTAGGGCTCGCTCGGCGCAGGGGCAGGGACCTGCCATGGAAAACCTAGAACACAAATGGAGCAAATGCTTTTTCCTCCTTCTTTCCTTGCAGCCTAGCCCCAAAAGAGCCTGAGCGTCTGGCAACAGCTGCTCACTCGGCACAGAAAACCTACTGGATGCTGAGAAGCCTGTGCCATGGTGGGTCCCCAACACATTCTCCACATTCAAGCCCTCCCCAAACTCCCTGCGCAGGACTTGTGCCTGTGGTCTGCCCCCCAGGAGAGGAGCCTGGGTTCCCAGCTCTTCCCACCCTCACCTTCAGGACACAAATTATGATTCTTGATGCTATTGCAGCCATCAGTCAAGCTCAGGTTGCTGCAAACAATTCCCAGTCTAAACATTAGCAGGATTTATGCCATTATCCCATCGACAGGAAGAATTCGGGGTAACCTGAATTGCTCTGAATTCATTTATGGAGAGACCTGGCCCCTGCATCTGAGATGACAGTAAGCCTTGTTTGCAATTCAATCAGGATGAATTGGTCCTTGGGAGCTCCAATACAAACCAGAAAATGTAAACCATCCAGATAATTTACCATTAGTCCTCCTACACACAAGGTGAGAAAGAGCGACGTTATATCCCTGGGATATTCGAGACCTAATCCGCAATAACTAAATTGCTGATATATTGCCTCTCACCGAACGTATCGGGCTATCAGTAATGTAAACGGGCTCTCCGAAGGTTTACTGAAGCCGGGAGAGAAGGACCAGATGCTGGCGGGCTGGAGGCAGGACAGCGGCCAAGTGCAGCAGCAGCGGTAATGAACCCCGGGACCTGCCCGCTTGGCTGCCAGCACCCGGCTGGACACCAGCTCCGAGCACAGAGGATTTGGAGTTTCCACATCCTAGAGTTGAGGAGAAAACTTGAATTTCACCTTGGCAGCCTGCTTGGAGGGTGGGAGCGGTGCAAATATGCTAGGAGACCGGACTCCAGAAGTTTATTCATTCTTCCCATTCTTTTTTCTCAATTTCTAACTCATTTCTATTTCTAACTCATTTCCATTTCCATTTCCATTTCCATTTCCATTTCCATTTCCATTTCCATTTCCATTTCCATTTCCATTTCCATTTCCCTGTCCAGCCCTGCTGCTGCAGCAGAGCCGAGTCCCACCAGGTGGGACATAGCCAGCAGGAGAGGAGGCACCTTTCAAACAAGCAGAAGCCCACACACGCGTTTATCTCAGCTGCATGCCTTGCCCTCCCTTGGCAAAAGCCTCGGGCAGCCTCCCCGAGACATCTGAAGCTCGCAGTCTGAGGTGGGGCTGGGAGCCGGGCGGGCTCCGAACGCACCCCTTTGGGTGCCCTGGAGCTGCGGGTGTCAGGATCCAGCCCCAGGGGGATGCACACCGTGCAGGCATGGGGACGGGGGCCTCATCCCAGCCCCTTTGGAGCTCCTCACATCAGAGGGGCTTCCCCAGAGCTGGCCTTGATGAGCTGAGCGCAGCTGGGGAGCGGGGCAAGGAGGTGAGAACCGGAGAGCAGCTCAGCACCAGCCACCTGCACGTGGCCCTTGTAAACACAGAAGCCTCCAAGCACCCGCAAGGTGGGTGAGGGCTGCAGGGACGCTGCGAGCTGCAAGAGGAGCAGCAACACCAAGCACCCCATCTGCCTGCGAGCCCCCAGGCATCTTCCTTGGCTGTGCGGCACCGTTATGCCTACTTGACCCAGAGATGTGCCCAACTTGCATGTCCATGGGTGCTCCCTGCACCCGATGCCTGTGCCCTGCCTTCCCTGTGCTGCCTGCGGGATCACCCCACACAGCTGGGGACCCCCAGGGTCACCCCACACGCAGGGGTGGCTCGCCCATGGGATGCCCAATACTGCAGAATCGGCACAAGAAGGACAGTTTCCACCAAAAGCACATTGTGCTCACGGCTAGGACAGTCTCCGGCTCAGTCAGCAGGGCAGAGAGAGCGACACGCTACAGAAGAAGCTCTTTGAAGCTCTGGGTGGTGGAGAGTCCCATGGGTGCCCAGCGTGGGCATCGCGGCTGCCGCAGGGTGTCTCACCCGGCCAGCGGCCCCGTGCAGCACATGCAGAGCCACTTTGTTCTGCCTAATCCTTGAAGCAATAAAAGAAGGCTGCATTAAGTCAAATTTCCGAACCAGAAGGTCTTCATTTGATATTATATCCCAGTGCCAAGTTCTGCAAAATCCCTAACCCATAAACTTCACTGAAAAGAAAAAAAAATAAAAAATAATAAAATAATAAAAAACAATCTGGCAGCGGAGCTCTCCGCAGCATTGTTGAGGTCTGACTCCTTCCACCAGCTTCTGCACTGCGTTCCCCCACAGCTGCGGAGCCGTGCTGTGACCCCGCAGATGGGGAACGGGACGAGGAGGGGTCCTGCCCGCGGGCACCCCCCTGCCCCATCCCCAGCAGCAGCCCCCAGCCCCGGTGAGCTCGGGCTGCTCCAAGTGCTCCTGCGATTACCAGTGCCTCAGTCCTCTCTCTGGGAGCGCTTGTGCTCGGCACTGTAAAACACCAGGAAATTTTTTACTGGGGGATTTCCACTGCCCTTGCTGCCGGGCCGGGGCGAGGAGCAGCAGCGGAGCTCTGCGGCAGGCTGCAGGCTCTGCCGTGCCCACGGGAGCAGGGCAGGAGCTGCAAGGCAGGAGCTCAGCTGGGGTCCCAGAAGGATCCAGCTTATTTTGCTTTTAGGTACGACTTCACGTGGCTTTAAGCCTCCCCTAAATCTCAGTAACTCACCAAATGCCAACTGGTGACAGGATGCACTGCAACAGTAGCAACCAAAGCAAGTTTCAGGCCAGGGATTTCAAACCAGAGCTTTTTGGAGCAGTGCAGGACCAGGCGGACTGAAACCCAGAGCCTCCCTCCAAAACCAAAAATCCTCATTAACCCTTGCGGGCTGTGCTGCTGCACAGTGGGGTGCTCGCTGGCAGCCAGGGAGGTGCAGGGCAGACACACATGGTGCCCCCACGTGTGTGGGGATTTAATGCAATGCCCTACGTGAGCACGCAGCAGCTCAGCTCAATGCCCAGCTCCTATCTGATTTCCCTGCGAATGTGGCCAAAAAAGGGTTTTCAGCAATATCGTACAATTGACTCTAAATGCATGGTTTTAAAAGCAAACTTCCCAGGCTGACAGCAGCCCAGCGAGCCACAAGCTGCCATGTAACCCGCTCCTCTGGGCACCAGCAGAGATGAAGCCTGGGGCAAAGACCCTACACAGCACCTGGGGCTTTCTGCTGGGCCATATGCAAAGGAAGCGTCCTCCAGGTGGGAGCTCCCCATGAGGACTCCCCGTGTGCCAGCTCTGCCACCGAAATGTCACAGTGTGGGAAACCTGAGCCTCGCAGAGCCCAGTGAGCAGCACTGATTTCAGGAGCAGAAGGAAAAACACAACATGAAAAAGAGCCAGGAGCCTCAGCGCTGGGCATCAGGGCAGGGCCAGGAGTTGTGCTGGTGGGAGGCAGTGAGCAGGGCAGCCCGAGCTTTCTCCTGGCCAGCTATTGCTGCAAAAAACTTTTGAGTTCTGTGTTTTTTACGAGGCTTTTTGCTATCACAGAGGATCATCCCAGCAACAGGTTGCCTGTGGGCATGGCTGACAGCTGTCCCTGTACCAGGGTCTCCAGCCAACACCTCCATCCTCAGGGGAGGACACTTTCCCACCCCGTGGCTGTCCCATCCCCTCCAGCTCTTGCTTTGCCAGCAGAGCCTCCCAGCCCCATGGTGGGGGCAGAAAGGTGCTCGGGTCTAGCTCAGACATCAGGACCAAGGGGTTTGCTGTGGCTGGCTTATTTTGGGTGTGCTGGCAGGGTCGCATCCATGCCCCCTCTGCCACCAGATCGGGTGCTCCCGCACCCCAAACTCGCTCCCCGCCACGTCCCTCAGGGTGGTGCTGCTGCTCTCGCAGCCGGGGCCGGGGCACGGAGCCAGCTGGAAGGAGCCTCTTCCCCAGGGTGGCTTCCAGGCATGGCACAGCGCCCGCGTCCCGCAGAGCCACCGCGTCCCCGGCCCGGGCCAGAGGTGAGCTGGCAGGCAGGAGGTCAGGGGCACAGGTGGACTCCAGGCAAAATAATTCACGGGGGATGGAGCTGCGGGCAGAGGTTTCGCTGCAAGGGCTGGGTCCCCACGGGATCTCAGCTAAAGCCTGGCCACCAAAAAACACCTTTAAGCACTGCCTCAAGTTCACGGACCTTCACCTTGCAGGGCTTCCTGCACTGGTGGCCAGTGACCAGTGCACAGGAGAGCAAAGGCTCCATCCCTACCATGCTGTGCAACATTTGCTCCTGCCAGCATTGCCTGATTTTAATGCCTTTTGCTGCAAAACACTCCTTTAAACCCAAAGCACATCACCTGCACACCCCCACACCCACCTTGAGGGCCGTTCAGGGGAACACACATGCCAGAGCCTATAGAAACCATAGGAGCCTGAAGATGAAAATCCCCCAGCGCCTGCATCACGCTGCAGCCCGGCTCTGTAGGTGCACAGGACCACGAGGACGGGTCTGAGACTTCGCCACGATCCAAGCACACGTTGGGGACACCCAGAAGGGAGCCAGGTCCCTGCCCAGCCGTGGGATCACTCACACGGAGCCCAAGTCCCCGCTAACCCCTGGGCTCAGCCGCACAGCGCCCAGACACGGCAGCACTTCCCCTGCACAGCAGCACCCGGGGTGTTAACACAGGCCGTGTAATTATTCCCATGATCGCCGTTAACCATTTCCCCACTGATCCCACCTCCAAAAACCCCAAGGAGCACTTACTTACCCCGCGCTCCTCGGCTGCGCGCCGTGCCCCCATGGGTGCCGTGCTCCTCAGGAGGTTGAATTAAGGGTCGGTATCGAGGCAGGGACCACTTAACGGGTCAGTCCCCAAATTGTGCAGCCCGAGCCCACTCCTCTCCCCGCGAGCCGGTGCACGGCAGCACACCGAGCAGCCACGGCGGGTCCAGGAGCCCTAACGAGCTCCGCGCACTAACGAGTGTCACCGACTCGCTCTGCGCGCCCCGGTGCCAGCTTTGGGAAGGGAAAGCAGCGGGAACGGGAGGGAGAGGCAGCCCGGCTCCCCTGCACAGCCCCGCTCACCTTGGGGGTGGGGGAGCTGGGGATCCCGGCAGATCGGGCTGTGATTTCTCCCAGCTTTCATTGTCTGAACTCATTATCCGCGTTGCACAAGGCAAAGCCGCAAGTCGGATGCTGACAAGGCTCGCGTTCCTCATTAGCAGCCCACATTGCAAAAGCTTCATCTAAACAAACATGCATTCTGAAGCCCTTACCTCTGACTTGTCACTCCCTCATCACTGCTGAAAAGACTCTTACTGGTTTCCCAGCTTTAAAACACTACAAGACCAACTACAAAAATCCTCGGTTCCTCCAGAGAAAGTTACATGCACGTCTCTGTCAAAAAAAATGAAAAATACTTTCATGGCGAGTTCATGGAGAAGTCTGGTGCATTTGGGTCTGGGGGGGTTTGTTGACTTGTTTTTGAAAAGCAGGTTTCTAACAGCTTCCCAGGTTTTGCGCAGAGAAACAAACCCTTCTGTGATGTGCAGGATTTCAGCTCGTAAAGATCGCCCAGGCTAGTTCATACTCCATCAGCCCACGCTGCTCCCTGTGTGTGCAAAGCAGAAAGTATGTGATCATATCAGAGCAATTTGCACATTAATAAATCCTGGTCTCAGTGCCGTAGACTCCATCCCCATCCACCGGGTAGGGTTTTTTTATTATTATTATTACCGGAGTATCCAGCTTTGTAAAGGCATCTAGTGCAAACTCCTGCATGAGGGAATTCCACCCCACTAGTACCACCTCCTAAGACAATATCCAGCCAAAATATTGTGACTGTTGCAAAACCCGGACTGGAGCTCAACAAAGGACCTTCCAGCGTTGCATCCAGAGCCAACGGGGTCTCAGTAAATTACTGCAGAGTGACACAACATCCCGTTCTCTTTGTAGTCTTTTTTATTTATGACAGTTAATTCCGAGTTATTACTAACATTTCAGTGGTAACTGGCATATGAAGTCATCAGCTGTCACAACTGCATCTGTTAATAAACATGTCAAATATTAAAAGCAGCTTATTATTCTCGGGAGGGAGGAAGGCACCAAGGCGATGAGCTTTAAAGCCCGGTTATTTTTCCATCCCTGGCTGTGCAACGGGAGGAAAGGCTCACGCGTGGGAAAACGTCCCCGCGGTGGAGCCCTGCTGCTCCCTGCCCTGCGTCGCACCCAGGCAGCCCACGAGCCCTCTCCCCTCTCCCTCCTCACTGCTGCACCATCCTCATCCCCCTTCCTCTTCTTCTCCTGGGACAGACTCTGCCCCACATGGGGTGTGGGGTGTGAAGGGGAAAGCCGAGGTGTGGGCACCCCGCTGGGGTCCCCAAGAGCCACCGTGCCCAGGGGGCTGAGCAGGATCTGGCCACCACCCTCACCAGCATCCCCGTGTGCCTGCTGTACTGGGGATCTGGGAGAGGGATGGCAGCAGTGTCCCTGTGTGTCACCGACCCTAATCCCAGCTCCCAGGGGGCAGACACAGTGCCTGCAACACGGGGATCTGCAGGGAACCCCAACAGCTCATCCCCCAGCACTGCTCCATCGGCACCTGGAGCCAGAAATCAGGGTCTTGAGCCCACTCCCACCCATGGGTGGGCTCGGGAGGACACACGGGTGCTGTGCAAGGGACAGCAGTGGCTATGCCATCTTCTCCCTTACCATTCAAAACCTTAATTCCCAGCACAGGAGAATGTGGCATGTCTTCTCCTGCGCTCTCTGTCTCCGTGGCTGCTCCACATTCCTCATCCCTTGGTGGCAATCCCAGGCACAAAGCCTGCTCCTGCCCAAGGCTCTCCTCGTGGCACTGCCTCTGCCTGTCTCTGAAGGTAATCTGCAGGTCACGGTCTTTGAGGGGTGCTACAGAAATCGGTGGTGATGTCTTCTGAACTATCTACTTAGGGGTTATTTGGTGATAACCCAACCAAGCAGTTCCCTTAAAGCCCAGATGTGAGACTTGCAGGTCTGGAGAGATGCAGAAGGCGATGCACAAAATGCTCCATCCTTGCCTTCCCCCTTTTGTCTCTCATTCCTCCTCCTCCAGCCATCCTTCCCGTGGCACTACATGTGTTTGAACCAGAAGATGGGCGATTATCCCCAGAAACCACCACCGGTGGAGCTTGCCCAGGCTCAGGCTGCTGGCTCCTTACGGGGAGGAACCCCATCTGCAAGGCGCTGGGACCAGGGGGGAAGGAGGCAGAGCTTCAGGGCTGGCAGCTGAGCAGCCCCAGCTCTGCAGAGCAGGGAGAGGAGCTTCAGGCTCCCAGCTTGTTCCTCCTCCTGTTCTGCATCTTCAGGGAGCCTCAGCTTTGCCACAGCCCTGAGACCACCGCGATGTTTTGCTGCTGCTCCGCTCTGGGGCTGGCGTCCCTCATTACAAGGAAAGAGTCAGCAGGAAGGATCCCATACCCAGCCCTGTCCCATTCCCGGAGGTGCCTGCCCTCTGCAGCGCACAGGAGCAGGGATTCCCTCCGGCACAGCCCCTGCTCCTGCCTTTCGGTGCGACGCAGCCACCAGCGCCTCTTCCGCCAGCTGTGACCGCGGCCGGCTCCAGACGGCTGCGCTCCCCCGGGAAGTGGGTCAGCTCCTCTAACCATCTGAACACATGTCAGCATTTATTTTAGGTGTAAGATCCACTCGAGCAGATGCCATAATTCTTCTGTAATGAATAAAATTCTGTCTCAGCTTCCAAGTTTTCCTAGGGACATTACAGGACAGCATGCTGACATATGAGCGATGCCAAGCAGGGTGACTCACCAGGCAGCGCGCAGCAAAAGTCTTGAAGAAATGAGCTGCATTATCTTCACTTCATCTTCCCCAAGCTTTCACAGCTCCTGGCTGAAAGGCGGAGGGCACAGGCTCTTCCTCAGGCTGTCATGGGACCGATAGTGAGCTCCCGAATCCTCCTCTTGTGTCCCTCGCTTGGGTTCAGAGCAGGTCCCTGCTGATGCTCCACGAGCCACCTCTGAAGATGTGTTTCTAGGCATCCTTGGGAGCCTCTGGCAGGAGCTCTGGAGCTCTTTGCCATGAGGAAGAGGAGGGATGCCAGAGGGGACATGGCATAAAGTCCCCCAAACACACTGGGGATTTGTGTTCTTCAGGTATGAGCACAAAAATACAAAACAGCCCAGAACAGGCAACAAAAAAAAATCCACCCTTCATGCAGCTTTTCCTTTGCATTGTGCATGTGTTAACGCATATGGGTATGGATGTTTTATTTGTCCTGAATTGTCTTCGGCACTCTTTAAATGTCCCTGGTTTTCTACTTGTAAACTGCATCTTCTGAGCTCCCTGCTGTCTCGCAGAAGCATTAGGGAACGTGGTTTGAAAATTGCACAGATGCTACGTGGTCACTGCCGTCAGTCTCCGCATTAAAGACCTTTTCTATTTATATTTAGAGGTTTTCTACTTTCTACTCTAGGAAGTTCTGAAGGGCCATCAAACGTCACTCTGGGACGAAGTCATGAAATTGAACGTAAGAGTGAAAAATCTCATGAACTGAAGATTTTGAGCTCTGTGCTTGCATTGGATGGCCAAACCTTTTCCTTTCTAATCTTTCTCGGATCACTGCAGCTCCATTTGACAGCTGTAGATCAAGTTTCAGTGTGGAGCAAATGTTTATAAGCGAGCAATAAACCCCTGAAGACAGAGCTTTATAATGGAAACGCTGACAAATCCAGCAGTAGGACCAGGGCTACCGGGCGCATCAATAATTAGCGAGCAGCGCAGTGTGTCCGACTGAAGGCAGGGCGATGTGCTTGCCAGCTCCCTGGTGTTAGAAGGTATCATTGCAGAGGACAGTAAATCACACTAAATCCTGCCTTAACACCCTCCACAATAAATCCAGCATCGAGTCCCACATTTCTTCCCCTTCTGACAGGCAGCTAATTTACCGTTTTGTTTTGCTTTAGCTAATGGCTCTTGAGGCTGATCCTAAATTAATCCTAAACAGGCTGTTTCTCTCTCGTACAAAAGGACACGAAATTCCACATTTTCACAGGGCAAAAACGCCAAGCCACTCCAGATTGAAAGCAGAGCCGCTGACTCAGGAGGTTTTCCTTGCAACCCACAGACGTCCTGGCCGCGCAGGTGCTGGGGCAGTGTGGTGGGCTCCTGCCGTCCCCATTCCTCGTGCTCCACTCCCAGAGGTTGCCCCAATATTCCCTTCCCAGCAGCTTCTCCTCTTGTTTGCCAGCTGCCCGGATACAATCAAGGAGAGGTTTGTGTAGAAAGGGCTCACCAGATTTGCTCCTCCAACAGCCAGGGCATCGGCCCAGTGAAGCACCGCGCTGGCTCCAGCAGGACTTGGACACTGCCCGCAGTTGCCAAAAGGATTGATGGCCGGTTTTCCATCATCCTTATGTTTGTCCACATTATTGAGGTGAGATGAAAAGCCTCTGCTCCTAACCCAGAGCCTGTCCAGTGCCCAGCACGTGGCAGACCTGGTGCTCCTGCCTAAACCCAGAGCAGGGAAAGGAGCAGGGCACCTGGCTCTGCGTGCTGGGTGCTCCCTGGTTTGGAGCTGGCTCCAGACCTTGAGCTGAAAAGGTCCTGGGCATGGGGACCAGGGCACGAGCAGGCTGCGGGGATGATCCTCCGTGGGGATGGCACAGCACAACCTGGGGCAGATGCATCCCTGTCCCAGTCCTCTCTGCCCAGGCCCAGCCGTTCCCTTGCAGGGCTCTGTGCCTCACCCCACACAAACCATCGCTGTGCCTTCTCCGAGGAGGATCCTTCCCCTGTTTCTGCAGAGAAAACGGTGACTCCCACATCCCCAAACCCACTGCTGGAGCACTTGGTTCCCCTCCCCATTAAAACACTGCCTTAATCTGGCAGACCAGGGCCCTGGCATTAACCCTGTCTGCAGGAGATACCAGCACCTACAAGTTCTCAGCTGGCACAGAGGATGTATTACTCATCCCCAGTGCCTCATCAGCCTTTGATAATATCTCAGCATAAGCAAAAAACAGAAAAGACGCTCGCTGAGACACCAGAAGGAAAGGAGAACGGTCTGAAGCCTCTGCAGCAGTGCAGCCCCAGCCCTTCCCCGTGCTGTTTCTCTGCACCCTTCTCGGACACAAAGCTCTGCTTTTCAGGGGGCTTATCTAGCGCAGGATGATTGATAGCCTGGGCAATTGTTTTTAATAATATCT